AGCAGGAACACTTGTTGTAATGCTTTAATTATAACAAACGTAAAGTAACCGAGTTTGCGTAAAAGTAGCCTACCTGCCAGACGAGGTTTGTTCTGCTGAAATTATTTACCCGTACCTACAGTTCTCAGACTTTACTCATATCTCATATCATAGAAAACTCACACAAAATATAAGACATTTCGTCAGTGATATATTTTCTAAAATCAGTATGAGCCCCCTGCTGTGACACTGTAGCCGTGTGGCGAACCTTTGCGCACAGGACTTTTTTTTCTCCACCGTAAAATGAAACAACCAGCTTTGGCTGACCTTAATTAAAATATCAATCCCCTAAATAATTTAACCTACAACCTTTAACCCAGTTAAAACCTATAATGAAAAATTCTCCTAAGAATAGTCTATAATTTTAGAGATCCCCCATCACCACTTGCTTCAAAATTTCAGCTCAGGCAAAAGGAAGTAACTCTGAAGTGAGTGTAAATTCCGTTTCGCTTTACATTTTATTAGTTATCATAAGACAAACATGTTCTGTGGTTTTTGCAGGAGCCTGGCGGAGTGGTGAAAATATAACCCATGCACTTCTACTAAGCCTAATTACAGTGGTGGAAGGAGTAAACTCAGGAATTTAAGGAAACACTGTGCGTAATAATTAGAAGTCCTATATTCAAAACCATAGTGAACAAAATGTACCTAAAAGTAAAAGGCGGAAAATTGGTTCCTGTCGGTGTTTAACTTTTAGGATATGATGGCTTGGATTAAAATTACTGGTGTATATGTTGAACTTTGGTGCTGTAGTTGTTGTTGTTGCACTAATCTGCAGCAGTGCAACATCCTCATGTTTGTAACATCTTATTCTTAGCTATAGTAAACTTTCCAGCTAATCCAAGGCTTAAAAACTGTTTATTCCCTTTAAGATGTGGGAGAATTTATTTGGTAGATAAAGGAACAATTACCGTTCAGTTTTATCAGAAATAAAAATTATAGTTCAAACCCACCATATATATGCACAAGGTTTTGACTGGACAGGAGGGGGATGAAAAAAGTAACTAAAGATGTCAGGCAAGTAGTGGAGTAAAAGGTATAATGGTGCCTGTGAAATGTAGTGAGGTAGAAGTACAACTGATCAGAAAATGAAAATATTCAAGTAGCTAAAGTCAACTTTGAACTGTAGCCTATCCTGCTTAGGCCTTCTTGAATTTTGCGCGCTTGGTTCCTTTCCACCACTGATAATTAACTCAGTGAATGTAGTTTGGTTGAGATTTAGTTCAAGCAAGATAATAAACATTTGCTTATGTTTGTCTTTAGGACCGTACGTGATGGCCGAGACTGAGGAAAACAAGCGCACGAGGACGGCGTACACGCGCGCCCAGCTGCTGGAGCTAGAGAAAGAGTTCTTGTTCAACCGGTACATCTCGAGGCCGCGCCGCGTGGAGCTGGCGCTGACCCTGAGCCTCACCGAGCGCCACATCAAGATCTGGTTCCAGAACCGGCGCATGAAGTGGAAGAAGGAGGAGGACCGGAGGAAGGCGAGGGGGGCCGAGCCGGACCAGGACTCCTCCATCACCTCTGGAGACCAAGGGGAACCGGCGGGAGGGGTCTCATCCACAAATGGACTTCACACTAGTACACCGCCTGTTTCCCCGTTACACGGCCACTGTCTCTCCGGCTCTGGGTCAAGAGAGCCCGCATAGACCCGGAGAAAACATTATTCTCTGCACTGGGACCTTTAAGTTTTTTCTTCCTCATAACCTACAGAAATAGGCTACAAACCTGTGGGGTTAAGAACTAGGCTGAAAACAGTGGACAGAGTGAAACAGCCCCACTAAAGTTGGCATTTTTAACTAATGTCCTCCTTTTACAGAGACCTCACTGAGCTCCCTCAGGGATTCCTTTACTAGAAACCCTGTCACAGTCATTTTTGATCTGAAGGGATCTTTCTAGGTTCTACTTGCCCATATATGCATTGACATTTTTGGGCACCAGATGGCATGCTGCCACAACCGAGCACGAAGGACCACCTGTACCTTTGTCCCCCCCTTTGTTAGATGAAACAACAAGGATTCAGTTGCACATATTTAATCAAGCGAGAAGGCCTGTTAGTATGACGTCATGATTATGAAGGTAAATATACGTAAAATCAGTAGTGGAAGGAGTACTGAGTTATTTTACTTAGGTATATGTACTAATATCATAGTGTAAAAATATTCTGTTACAAGTAAAAGTCCTGTATTCAAAATTTACTTGAGTAAAAGTACAAAAGTATCCGCATCAAAATAAACTTGAAGTATTAAAAGTAAAAGCACTCGTTTCACATTGATGTATAGGCTATTATATGTTATTATTAGGAAATGTAGGCCTATACATTCCACTACTGTTTAATATGACAAACCAGATTTGCAGTAAGTCAGCACAACAGTAACTGTATAACTATAATCAGTGACTTATATATTTTATTGTCTGAAACATTCATTACACGGTATTGAGAATAAAATTTGGAATAAAGCAAATAGTTTTATAACGTTTGAGTCTTTACACCAGATGACACAGGTGAAATCCACCACCCTGCAGTAGTTAAGGTTCATAACTTGTTGGGAGCGTTGGGAGCGTCGGGGAGCACCAGGCTTTGGAGACGCAGGTGGGATATCTTCTTCACCTCCTCGATGCCGCGCGCCCTCTCCACCGTGCGCTCGTTCCGGCAGCGCTCGGTCAGCTGCTGTAAGATGTTAGCCTTGTCGTTCATCCGAGCGCAGATGACAAACGGGAACCCAAAACGCACCTTGTACTCCCAGTTGAGCCGGCTCATGCGCAAGGCTTCTCCCGAGCTCAGCGCGTCCAGTCCGGCTCGGGCATGCTCCTCGCGCGACTCCCGGGTCAAGGTGTCGCCCTGAAGGTCCCTGCCTGCGAGGTCTGGGTAACACCTGAGGATCCCTTCTTTACCTAGACACATGATGGCCAGTGGTGGAGGAAGTACTCAGATTGTTTATTTAAGTAAAAGTAGCGATGCCACTGTAAAATACTGCGTTTAAGTCCTGAATTCAAGTAAAAGTACAAAAGCATTAGCATCAAAATTTAGCTTACTTACTAGGTAAAAATAAGTTATGCAGCATGACACACTTCACATTAACTGGATTACAATTATTGATGCATAATTGTGTTCGTCACATTTTTCAGCTGGTAAAGTTGGAGCTACTGCTGTGTAGCTTGTGAAATTCCCAATCACATGATACTGTGAAAAGTAACTAATAAAATTATCAAATGAAGTAATAAAAAGTACAATACTTGCCTCTCAAATGTAGTGAGGCCGAAGTATGAACTAGCAGAAAGTAAAAAAAGGCTAAGAACAGATATCTCAAAATTGTTCTCAATGACAGTAGCTTACTTGAGTACTTTCCACCACTGATGGTGACTGAGTATTACAGTTTGTTAAAATACCAACCACCCCTAAGAACTTCAACAGAGCCCAAACTCAAATGAACAGTTAGTGAAATGTAGGTCTGCCTCACCTGACTCTGGAAGGGCGTCGATGAACTCACTAATAGCAGCCTCCAGAGCAGTCAGGTTCGCAAATGGACGCCTCGACCACACAGCAGCTGTTATAAGGGGACATTTCTCCACCACATTACCAAAAATATTCACAAAGTCCTCACAAGGAAGAGCATTTATTGCGTCGATATCCATGTTAATGTGGGGATATTTGTGGTTGGTTACATGGCCAGCGCGTACTGACCTTCGGACCAAGCTTTGGGTTAACGCACTGGTGCACATCCGAGGCCTGGCAGTGGTTAATAATTTATTTGTCACATCAAATGCCAGTCATTACTTAAAGTTAGCTAAAAGTTTACAACCAAGTGCAAAACTGTTGTGCACATTTTAGACACAGGTTGACCCGGCTTCTTCCTCACCCTAACTCTGATGTCTGGCGTCACCTAGCGCATTAAACATATACATTTATAACGGTGCTTTAGAGTGGTCACAAAATAACTGAGTAGAGGGGAAACAATCACACAAAAAGTTGGTAGAAATTAATAATGTAGACATTTCTGTAATCTTTTCTATTTGATTGTGAAAGATATTTCGGTAGCCCTGTATAATAATTAAAGAAAGACTAATTAAATACATGGGTGGGTCTGAAACGAGCTTTTGTGTTACTGAAATGCAGCTAATATGGGGGCATATCGATAAACGTATGAAGTAAATGTGAATTAATATTTCTTTAATGATGATGTATTAGGTATGAACTAACCGGAAGTCGTAGTGACTTGATCATATTTTAATGGTGAATAACAGGAACTCATAATACATCATGCAGTAGCCTAATTCACACAGTCATTATATTCATCTATACGTTAAACATTTAAGTATATGATTTGTACCTTTATTATAAAGTGTTGGTAGGATAGTTCTGCAGAAACTACTTGTATAAAATCACTCTTTGTGTGATTACTCAGATACTGTATATAATGTAATGAGGCCTGCACATGATTTTATTTAAGTGGTTACAAGCAAAAAGTTAAATCATGTGATAACTACACCAATTGTTTAACATGTAAAGTACATTTTATTGCAGATATATTAGAAAACTAAAACTAATACAGTATAATGTAGTATATACAGAAATGTATATCAAAAGCTTGGTTAAAAAATATGTATGTAGAACTGGGTTTAAACTGCTTGTAACAGCTGCTTATACCTAAAATAACAGCAAAACCTGTGTCATGACAATGTCCAACAATATTTGAAGGCAAAGGTTGTTGTAATAACCAAAAATTAATGAGTTGCTCCAGATCCAATGTAGAAACATCAAGTTATAGCTTACATACTGTATAATCCTGAGAATACCCAGGGCCTGTTAATCAACTCTATTTTTCATTTTTAGCTGCACGATAAAGTATAAAATACTGTATTCATTCAGATGACATTTTCATTGTGAGAATATAATTCACTGAAGTCCCAGCCCTGTGCACAACAAAAAACCTATGTTTGTTACTTAAGAAGATGCTGTGAAATTGTAACTATATGCTACATATTGTATTATTCAAAGGCAGCTATGATTCTAAAACTGCTTACAATATTTTATCAAAACACAAAGTGAGTATAGTTTATTCTACTGCTGTAACGTGAGATTAATGCTATGAGAAGAATCTTTTTGTTTTAAACAATACATAAGATGGTTTGAACAACAACAACATGCTTTCAGTGATAGGTGATCACTGAATGTCTGATGGCTTCATAAGCTTCTCCTCAACTGTCACCACGTCCAAGTCAGACTGGGCTCCACCCAAGGTTGTTGGATTCTGCAGGCCTACCTCTTCCTCCCTCTGCAGCTCGTCACACATAAAGGACAACAGTTTGGAGAAAGAAGGACGGTCAGAGGAATTCAGGGCCCGAACACTTACACATGATATTGTATCTGAAAAAGTAAGAAGAGGGATGAAAATTCAGACCTATACACAGCTCTGGAAAGACCTTCGGTTTGCAGAGATCTGCAGTTATCCATGACATATTGCATAGAAGTCAAAGTTAGCTGGATTACACTGTTTGTTGTAGATTTGAAGACAGTGTTGGAACAACTCCAATTCATTACAGTCATGTAAAAAGTACTGCATTATAATGTAAGTAAAAGTCCTCCATTCAAATACACAGAAATACTCTAAGCAAATTTACTCTACTTAAAGTATCAAAAGTCAGTACTGTAAAATGGCCAATTTCTCAGCAGTATATATGCATTATATTATGAGGTAACTGTTACTAATATTCTAATGTTTAAGCAGAATTTACTGATGTGGATGGTTGAGGTGGAACTAGGTTAACTACTGTATATAAAGTTCAGTCCCTAACAATCTTAAGAACAGTTATGCCTACCTTAGGTTCTATATTGAAAATCTTCTTAAATCAAATAAAATCTGCTTGTTTTTAATTCACATGAAACTGTCTAAAGACAGACATTATCTTGAAAAAATAAAGACCTACACAGACAGAGTTGCATAGCATGGACACTCCATCTTAAATCCTCTCTCAATCATTGAATAGAATATGTGATCCACCTTTATCCCAGGATACGGAGTGACACCTGAAACACACAAAGAGATGTAATGGTTATTGTGCATGCACTAGGTTTAAATATGCTGCTCATGGAGTGTGCTTGTCTATGAAAGCTACCAAGTCTATTGGATCAAAAGACAGTTGCAGTTTTGTTCTTATGTTCCTGCGCTTACATGTGTTTGTTTGTTTGTGTGCTGGTGGGTAATATGTACCTTCTTTCTGCTGAAGTAGAAACACATGGTTACCACAATGATTACTACCAAAGCCAGAAGCAAAGGCAGAAACAAAGTGTCTCTTATGAAGCTGTTGTTTTTGAGTTGAAGAGCTTCAAAAAAATGTGACAGAAGAAAAAAATCAGTATCATCAAAAACAAGCCAAATTCACAGAATCATATTGGATAAACTCCAGCATCAGTTGTGGTTTTCTGGGATATTCAAGAAAAAATATAAACGGTTAACATAGTTTTCTTAACACTGATCTATTAGCACCATTTAAAATAAAATTGCAAAAATAAGTTTTAAAAATGATATAATTGTTTCAGAAGTTACAATAATAAAAAACAACCCATTTCTCTTACCTACAACCTTCACTGTTATAGTCTTCGTTAGATTTTGGTTCCCAGCCATCAAGTGTAACTTATAATCTCCTGTTATGAGTGAGGGGTGTGAAGGGTTTTGAGGACATAGCCTTACAGTCCTGAAAAAACAGTGTTATATCCCACAGCTTTATATGAAACCATCCAAAAGTCTTTAAGAATGTACGCAATAGCATATGATTATATTTGCCAATACTAGTTGTCTGTTAATGCTCTTGAAAAGACATTAGTGTTTTGTATGTTTCTACACTCTGACAGCATTTGGTAACATTTTTAGAAGTTCATACAGAAAGCTGAGCTCTGGAAGCATCAATTCATGGGACTACCTGTGTTTCGTAACAAACGTTTCCCTCGTGCATTTAATTCTCATGTTATCGGGAGTCTCCCAGGAACAGTAGTGGAGCACAGGGTGGTAAGAAACACTGGCTTGCAGACAAGTACTCGATGCCTTCTGAGCTGGTATGATCTTGCTCTTATTCAACTGGGCATCGAGGGAAGCGTTATCTGCAACACAAGAATAAATTCAGTTCATGTGCAATTGGTACAAACAGACCTAAGTATTAGAGAGAATAAGAATCATTCAGGATTATTTATTGCAATTAGTATAAATACAAAAAAGCAACTCTACTAACCCTGGATACGAACGTCAACAGCCTTAGCTATCTTTCCCCCTCCTGTGCAGGTGTACATGCCCCTGTGCTCCTCACTAACTGATCTGATGAACACGTAGGCCATACGAGTTGACAAATGCCTATCACTTTTAATACAGAGCTGGAAGAAAAATATATATTTCTTATGATTTTGACAAACACTAATGGAAAGAACTCAATTCTGTTCATTGAAATTTTAAAGAAAATCTCAGTTGTCTCAGTATCAGATTATTGTACCTCTTTGTTATCTTTAGAAGAACATGCTAATTTTCTGGCATCCAGTGTTTCGTTGTCCTTCTTCCACACAGGCTTAGGATTCCTACTTCGGCAGCGTAGCAGCAAAGACTGCTTGGAGCTCACAGTCACATTAAAATCCTCCTCATTTTTCTCTGGATCACGGTCCAGGTCTGAGATGGACAAAAGAGCATCAAGTCACAGAACAGATTTGATAGTCAGTTTTTTAAAACTGTACTCTATTTAAATGTTTTCTATTTAAATGAAATTAACTAGAGATAGTCCCCGGGCTGCAAACTGGATTTGTCCCTAACATCTTTAGATGGTTGAGGTCCAGAACTGAACAAATTACCTGGCATCTACAATCACTTATTGCAGATAAATCTTTTGTAGATTATTTTTGAGTAATTTGTTGAGCTCTTTAGTTACCGTAGTCATACAGTTGGGTGCACTCTTGTCCTTCTTCATTAGTAGCACAGCACATCACTCCTTTGTTATGATAGTCAGCACTCGATACTGAACTCCCTGTCCTTGTCCTGTCACAGAAGAAACATCATTATTCAGAAAATCACACTATAGTGGATGTTTTCTTGAGGTGTCAGTAGACCACATTGCTATCAGTTTAACATACTCTGAATGCAGGTGAAATGAGGGGATAACATTGATCCATCTACCCTCTCCAGTATCAGTTGTGGTTTTCTTGGACATTCTAGAAAAAATATAAATGGTTAACATAGTTTTCTTAACACTGATTTATTAGCATCAAACACTCTAGTGTTTGTCTGCTGTGTTAAATGCTGACTGAGCATTGCGGACAGGAGATACTTAAGTGATGTTACTCACTTGCTACTACACGGAAAAACTTATTCACTGAGGCCCTGGTCACGTTGCTAGTTTCAGAAATCAGAATATATTCCCCAGAATCGGTCTCAGAAAGTGGTGGTAGGACCATGACGCGACCCCAGGTCCTGGTAAAATGTAAATGGTCAGAAATAATCAAAAATATATAAATAAAAAAGCGCATCTAAAGACAAACAATTACATTGACTTACATCGTCATTTGGCCTTTTTCTCCGATGTGGTAACAGACAGCATATCCACTGAAGCTCTCCAGGGAGATGTTGAATTTCTTACCAGAGCACGCCTCAACTTTGACAGGACGGGATGCATTCAGATAGTCATCTAGCACAAAACATTCAACCTGAAAGACAAAACTCACCATTTAATCACTGGTATTAAATAGCTTTCAATGTGGTAGCACAAAACTATTCACTACTTTGCATTAAAAAACATACAGAAAAATTTAAAGCACATAAAATTGATAAGACTATACGATGTCTATATTTCATAAAATATTATTCACAGGATGTGTGAATGTTTCAGTTTATTTACTACAAATGCCATCCCAGTGAACCTTATGTCTGCTTTTACATTTGTCAAATGGTGTCATTTCAAATACTATCCCCAATCTGTAATTTTTTAAAGGTTCTACTAAAATAACACATCATCTGACAGACTTCAAAGTGCTAAACAGAAATGAAACAAGAGTGTGTTTTGTCAGGTCTGAACTATTTCCATCTTTGCTTTACAGCCTCTTGCTGCTCTGCACTTTTGTTTTCTGTTTTTAAGTGAATCGTGCACTCTAAAACAAAAACACCCGTCTTTAGTGAGAAGACCATGGTGTGTTAGTGACACCCATACCAATAATATGTGTGGTGCAACAGACTTTGTAAAAACCTATATTAAATAGCATTAGGTTTTGTAAAACCTGCAGTGTGAATGTACTGTAGCTAATGTAGTGTTTTAAGTATATCAGATACATTATACATTTCATTAAACAATCCCACAGCTTACCTGAAATATGCATTAACTCAGAAAGACTAGTACATAATTCAAGCTGTGTAGTTAAAGTTTACTGTGTTTATTGTGGCAGCTTTTACCTCAGGCCTGGGCTCACAGGATCCATTTTGCTCTGCCGCAGCATCAGAGCAGAGCACCCCAACAGCACACAGCAGGAGAAAAGCTGGAAGGATGGAATGTTCTAGCTTGATTTGATGTTTTTTGAATAAAAATTGTTTTAAATAAAATGCATGTGAAAATGGAAATATATAAATAAGTATAATGGAAAACTAACAACACCCTTGTAACGATCAGTAAATTTCTATGTTTATACAGTATATGTCCAGACTTTTAATTTGTGGTCATAGTGTATACCTTTGTCTGTGCAGATTCTCAGTCATCCAGGTCATAGTAAGTTGGAAAAAAACTTAGAAAACATCAACTGGACTAGGTTTCTAGGTTGAAGACGTTTCACCTCTCATCCGAGAGGCTTCATCAGTTCTGCCCGACTGGTGTTGAGCCAGAGATATTTTTCCCCCTCGGTGGTGTTTCAGTCCTTTGAAGGCCAATGGTGTCCCCTAGAAAGGAGAAAAGGAGAAAGGAGGGCCACAACCCACAACCATTACACAACGACAAATGGGTCAAAAATCTCTCGGACAGAGAACTCATGGACACAGAAAAAGAGGTATTAGCCAAGGGATTAAATTTTGCAGTCACACTCGAACAAATCCCTGTGGTAGACTTCATCACAGCCACAGAGTCGGCCATTAGGAGCAACAAGCTGGCTGATGAGGCGGAAGAACTGCAGATGAAGGTCACAGCTGCTTTGGCCAGTGCCAAACTCCTACCCCCGAACCTTACCCCTGAGGAAAGGAGGGCTTTAGCTGCACTAGAGAAGGATGAAACCATCACAATCCTTCCAGCAGACAAAGGCAGGTGTACAGTAGTCCTAAAGTCATCTGACTATCAGACCAGAGTTTCCGACCTCCTCAGTGACACCACCACCTATGAAGCACTGAAGAGGGACCCCACCAGTGGCTATAAGAAGAAGGTTATAGACTGTTTACAGAAGCTGGAAAAGGAGGGAGTTATTGACTGGCGACTATACTACAGACTATAGCCCGGGGAGGCCATCCCTTGCCTTTATGGCCTACCCAAAATACACAAGGAAGGAGCCCCACTCAGACCCATTGTCAGCAGCATCAACTCTGTGACTTACAACATAGCTAAGCATGTGGCCACCATTCTGGCTCCTTTGGTGGGAAACACAGGAAACCACATAATTAACTCCCAGGACTTTGTGAAGAAAGTCAAACAACTGCAGCTGGAGCAGGACGAGACCATGGTCTCATATGATGTCACATCCTTGTTCACTTGCATCCCCACCACAGAGGCTGTCAAGGCGGTGAAGAAGAGACTCCTGAAGGATGACATGCTGAAC